GAAAATTTTAAATTTAAACTGATCACATCACAGGGCATTTGTGTCAATACAGCAATGACTTCTCAATGCAAAAAACATAACAATACTACAACTGTTCAATTCCTTGCAAAGAGCCACTTGACCTATGTACAGATGTGCTGTAAACAGAGACTATTACATAAAGTAAAGTTTTGCATCATGGGCTTGACAAGCTCATATGGACTCTTTTCTTTAAGGGAATTTTAATGTTTTTTCCAACATGGCTTAATGAGGCTACGATGAAAGTATTCACTCTACAGTGAAAGTTATGTATGACCAGAGCTTTTTTTTTTTTCCAGAGCTTTTTATTTCTCAAGCATTATTTTGCAAGCCTCACAGTCATTGCCAAATTATGGCATTATTGTAGCATTAAAAGTTTTGAGATTTAGTTTTATGTGAAGAGATACTCAGAATCACATTCTCTACATTCATTTCAGTCACTGGGGAACTTTTCAGCAAGTTTATGATACAAACAAATCCCAATGTAAGTGTGAACTGTAAAGCATTATCTGCAAGGTACCTGTTTTAGTTTGTTTTTCTTCAGTGTGGATGATCACAAGTCTTTCCTTCTCCTCCAATGGGGCTACAGTGAATTCACTCTTAGCACTATGGATAGGACTGGGTGATGTAAGACTGCAGAGGAAAGGAGAAACAGTTACTTCTAGTGCTGATCAACATCATTCTCATCTAAGATAAAAGTGAATACGCAGGCAGGCTTGTTGAAACTAAGAATTATCTGCATGCTAGAGAAGCCATTAACAAACCAAACTAGGCATGTAACTTTTCCATCACTCTACAGTGTCACAGCAGGCTAACGGGTAAGTAGCACAATGTGTGTCCATTTTCCTTAGCAGAATGCAAGTTTGAGACCGCAGAATTCACATACACTCAACACAGAGGTAAGACTATGCTGTACTGAAGGTCTGCTCAGAAACAACTTACTGCGAGCCTTATGTGCATACTGCAAGCTGAACAGAAAACCACCCTGTTTTACTTCATCTCTTGCTCCGGCATTCAAAAGTCACTTCACTAACTTGGAATTCCAAGGGCAAAACATTTTTCAAAAGTCAGATACCACTTACTCATGTTCTTAGGTTAAAACTTCTTGAAAGTACCCTCATATTTTCACTGGAGCCACCTCAGCTGACTGTGAGGATCAATCTTTTTGCAGAAATTCTTCCTAAATGCATCACCCAGACAACATCAAAAGGTGGCTGAAGCTCACTGACCCATTCAATGTACCTCTAAAGTCGCAGGAACTAATCCTTGCGAGTGTGAGCAGGAGTTAATTTTTCATTCTCCCCAACACAGAAACAAAGGACAGAGAACAAAAAGAAAGCAGTGTGGAAATAATATAATAGGTTTAGAAAAACAAACGGCTTGGAAAGCTTGCCTTCTGCATCTTCCCAGCACTGCTGTTAAATATTCCACATTGCTCTCACAGAATCAGAAAAGCCTCACAATAGAGATGGAAATGACTTGCTAGCAGCTCCTGTCTGGTTCACTTGCAGTCAGTGCTAGTCTACTTCTCATTTATATTACAGACCTTCAGGCAGTCTAGTTTTAATGGTCCAGACTAAATGGACTTTCATCACGTTAAAGGAAAAATGAAAGAATAACCGTCCTCTAACGTGGATCTCTACCAGCCACAGTACCTGTGCTTTCCTGCTTAAGCAGAGTGTGCATGATTGTTAAAGGGGTCCAGGCCACCTGGCTTTGCCCAAGGATTCACCTTCAGGAAGACTAACTCCATTACAGCAGTTCCTGATTAGGCACATTTTGTATACAATATTCGTACCCAGCCTTCTGCTCCTGCTTGTCACTGAATGGGTGAACAGCATAACATTAAAATAATTGTTCAGGAGCTCAGAAAGTACTTTTGGGTTTATATATATATAATATATTTATTATATTTATATAATAAGGTTCAGAGGTAAGGATGAAGCTTTCAAATACCACAGGTACAAACAGGAAGCCCAGCTGATCTAACATGTCCAGTAATTCTGAGAGGGATTTTACTTCCTTCTAGGAACAGATCTCAATATTCCCTCTGCATATTCTCAGCTAATACTCTGAATGTGCCATCATCCTTATAAGGTCACTGAGAAGTTCATTACTGGTTCTCATCTATGCAAAAGATGAAAGAACGAGAGCTATCCTAGAAAAACAGTATTAGTAACTGAGTGAGAAGGTGGTGAAACTGAGGAATGGACAAGAGCAGGAAAATGAAAAGAACAAGCAGGACTAAAAACAAAGGGATACAGAGTCTGGAAATAACATTCTCCTCTTCCAAAGTCTGCTTCTCTCAGCAGCGGATCCACAGCCCAAAGCAAATACAAAAGATCCCAGCTGAGGCAGAGGGGTGGGGTTAAGTGGTCACTACACCTCTCCACAACATAGACAGTTTTACAGATAATTTCTTAGGCATTCCTATGTCCACAGTCTCCTTTCCAGGCAGTTTCTCTACTTTAAAAGGCCAATGGGTTCACATGGCATCAGTGACAACTTCTCAAACGACGCCAAACAGTGAAAGAGCCACTGAGATGCACTCAGATGAAGCAGTAGCACAGGTCAGGTTGCCTCATATATTATGCCATCAAGTTAATGCTCCAAGCATTTCTACGTTTTTTTTTATCAGTCATCAAACCCATTAGAGTACAAAACATCCACTGCTGTAATTTTTTCTTTAAAGTACATAATGATTCATGATGAAAGCATGCAGAAATAAATGCCGGGAAATGTAAACTATTTAAGACAGATTTATGACACAAACTATTTTACTTCATTCCTTTTACCAGTTGGTTTCTTAACCCATATCCTCTCTCCACTGAGTCCAGAGCTGCCAATGCCTGCACAGTCCAGGCTTTAGGAAAACCCTCCCAGTGGTAAGTCTGAATTCTCATAATTTTAATAAACACCCCATCCCTGCTGTTTCAAATGACAATGGCAACAATCGCTCACCATTTAACCTGCTTCCCTCCCATGATACCACTTTAACCTTTCGCCTCACAGATTCCGTTTCCTGGGGGGCCTCTGGATTCTGGCTACAGACATGCCTTGTCCCTTCACATGCTTAGAATTCAGTGTAGAAGATGCCAGCTTCTGTCAAACTACTGGAGAAATATTTGCAAGCCAAACTGCTTCACATTAGCCGAAAGATTCACAGCAAAAACAACAACAAAAAAACCTCAGGGTCTTTGCAAGAAGCTGTCAGATGGCAGATCAGCAGCCCCTATATACGTATTTGATTCCAGATTCAGGGAATTGTGCAGCCTGGGTTTTGCTTTTGCTGGTTTTCCTCTCGGGTTATTCATCTCTTGCTGCTGCATTTTGGTCAGCTGCACACCCAGTTGTTTTCATCACAAGGACTGCGATCCGGATTGCCAGTGGTGTTTCTCATCCCATTCCGCACGCTTTAGACTCCAAGCACCTGCTGCAGATGCCAACGAACAGCCAAGAGAAGGTGCTCCTGCAAGCAGTAGGTTCCTTGCTCTTCCAGGCTTGGATGCGGTCTCGGAAGACGACATGCAGCACTTCCCAGTCCTATGCACGTCTTCCTCTTCCTTGCTATCTCCAGCTCCCTCTCCCTCCTGCTGTCACACAGGCTGTGCAAGGCAGAGCCTTTTCTCTGAGATGCCTGGCTCAGAGTGGGGGAGGGAAGGCTAGTAGAAGGGGAGGGGAAAGGGAGATGGATGGGTGAGGGGCTCAGTGGCCTGGGAATCCATCCGATTTTGGCAATTTTTCCATGAATCATTTCAATTGCCTTTGCTTATTGGAGCTTTTGTCTATGACAATTCTGTTATTCAGGCTCTGAGCTCTCTTACTGAAGAGTTAATGCAGAAATGAGTTGATGCTAGGCAGGGGATGCTGCGCTGGGACAGACATGACAGCAGCACAATTAGATAGAGCTGGGTGGCTGCAGTTAACCACATCTCTCACTAATAAAAAAAGTGGCTTGTTTCTACCAGCCAGTTCTCATAACTAAGCTAGTACATTTCTCTCTGGAAGGAAAGCGAAACAAGCATCTTGTTTTCATCATGAAGCCTGGTGTCAGCAGAAGACATCCTCAGGAGCTGGAGGTTAGATTGCTCCCAGCTTCTTTGGGTAGATCACCAATCACTTACATAAAGATTCTCATCATATTATGTCCTATCAGCAATATCACCAGCATTTCCATATGGTAAGACAACTCATGATATTATGGGGAAAAACAAAAAACACAAAGTCATTTAGAACACACAGAGAAATTTTCACTCACCACAAAAATACAGCCACATATGAGCAAACAGCAGTTGTCTGACAATCCATTATTGGGTAGAAGAGTACACATAATATACTGCAGCCACCTTAAACTGAAGAACACGTGGAGAGAACAGCATGTTTTGCCCACTATCCAACCTGACATCATGGTTCAAGAGTTAACACCAAAGTCCTGCGACATTAACCATAAAATCCTGTTGCCAAGACCAGAATTTTTACAGCTCCCCTGGAATGACAGCATCAAAAGTACACTCTCTACTGACATCATGTGGAGGCAGTGGTCCAATACTGGGTCACATGGAGTTCTTGCACTCTTCCAAATGTGTATGTCTGAATTTAAACACGACCTCACAATGACACACAGCAAATTTTGTGTATAAGTACAAACTATTGTGGGTTTTTTTTTCTGCTTTGTTGGGCCAAGTGACTTTCATTCTCAGGTACACAGAGGCCTCTCTGTACTATGGTGCATCAAAAGCGGCTTAAGAAATCCCATGGAGACATTTTGCCTGCTGAGAAACTCTAAATAGCAATCACAGAATCATAGAACAGTTTGGGCTGGAAGGGACCTTAAAGATCATCTAGTTCCACCCCCTGCCACGGGCAGGGACACACTATCCTAGGAAAATGAACCTCCTCACTCCTGCACAAATCAGGGAGGTGGGGGGTAGTTGAGGGATATGAAAACAAACACCACTGCCATGTGTCTTCCCTCCCCCCTCCGCTGCTCAAGTAAGTTGCAGCAAGATTTTTGACTTCTGTCCCAAAGCAAAGGGTAGCAAGAAGAGCTTGTAAGGCACCAGTGTAATGTGTTGTAACTGGCACATGCTGCTCAGGTTCACAGCTGCAAGTTGTGGCACCTCCTATTGGAAATCTATTATATGCTGCCACTCTAATCAATCCTGTCTTCTACAGGTTTCATTTCCTTAGAAAGCCTTCACTTGCACCAGCTTGACCTTAGTTTAACTCCTCAGTGCAGTCAAGAACCCCAGTCAATGCTGCAGGCTGTTTACAGCACAGAGCACATACTTCTCAGGATTCAAGTCTTCCTTCAAAGGGGAAAGTCACCTCCAATGGAAACCATACTGAACTCTGACTTTCAGGCTTCACAGCAGTATTCAGGACTTCAGATTGAAGGTGAAAGTCTGAAGGATGGAAGGGTAAATTAGATAACTGTAAAAGTAGAGACAGTTAAAGGTGATGGATGAGGGCACAATGGCAATGAAGACATAGCTGCAGATCCCCCCGGATGATATATCTGGATTAAAGACTGGTCTGTTCCTGTAAGTGCTGTTCAAATCCACACGTACTCTCATCTCCTTCTCTCTGCAGGGCATAAGGTTTGTTGGTTTAAATTCCTTTCCTCCACATCTTTTCCATCAGCTCTGAAATATGCATTCCTTGCACCCTAGCTACTCTGCTCCTTCCTTTCTGTGAAGCAGAACTCCATTTCTGCATTCCTCATGCCAGCACTCTCTCAAAAGGCTCCACTTGTACCTTCAGGTTCCCAGTAAAGTCTTTAGTTGTGTCCTTCCTAATCCTATTCCTCTGGTCTCACTGAGACGCTCCAGAACTTTAGACAATTGTAACTGAGAAGTTCCTAGCCCTTATCTATGCAATCACACCATGAATGAGATCAATTTTATTTGTGGGAGAAACAGCCATAAACCACTGGTTTATGTTGGTTCCTGAGGCTTCATTCTCTGGATCAGGCAGGAGACTGTATGTTGGGAATGCTCTTTTTTTATCAGAGCTAACCAGATCACAGTGATAAAAAAGGGCACTTTAGAGAATGTCAGACAAAGGACCACAAGGAGAGGCATCTTGGCAATAAAGTTCCTTACCTGAAAGAATGGAACTCCAATGGCATGTTTTGCTGCCCTTCATATTGCTGCACCAGTGCTCGGACACTCCAGTAGGGGTTTTCAATCTCCTCATCCATGCTGCTATTTCTGGAGATAATAACCATAGAATGAGGGAAGCCTCACCTGACAGAAGCAGAAGTTCATCTTGTCTTCAAGAAGGAGGGTAGGAAAGCTAATGAAAGGAAAGTAAGAAGGAGGGGACAGCTAGAAAACTGACAATTAAGAAAATTCTCCTATCAGGGAGCTCCATCCCATCTTCTTGATGTGAGGGCAACACAAGCACACAGGCCCTCCCCTTTTAAACTCATCCCTAATTCTGTGACTAGAAAACTACAAAAGCTCTGGGAAAGCAAGGAAAATAACAGAATTTGCAAATAGCTCAAGGACTTGCTTTTCTGAAGAACTCCTGACCCAAGGCCTTCACAAGAGAAGCCTTTAACATTTAATTTTTCAACAAAATATGCCATTTCAACCTAATTTCCAAACTGCTTCATGGGTACTCCCTTGAGCCAATATCATATAGGCAAGTGACCTTCAGCTGTGTAAATTAAACCCTCAATAGACCACCATCTGGCTTCCATTTAAATGTAATTACTATTATTATTATAATAATCCACATAGCACCTTTTGCAAGTGTTAAATGTGCTTTTCAGAATTACACATTCCTTCTGTGCACAGATCATCTCCCTTTATTATCACCAGAACTCCTCCACTTACATGGTAGGCTGCATCAGCTGAGTAACAGCGCACAACACTCTGCATCCACCTATACAGCAGTAAGCATAACATTGGGGTGAACAGCAATGTAGAAGACAGAATGGACTTGTACAACAGGCTCAGTGCCTCAATTCTGGAGATAACTGCTTCCAGATCTATAACGAGTAACTGCAGTTAAGACCTTACTTTTGTTTCTCTTGAAATGAGAATGTCTCCAAGTAGCCAGTGCCAAGAAAGGGCACTGTGCTCAGCATGAAATGGGGAAAATGAGGCATCAGAGCTCTCTCTGGCTTGGCCGTAAAGAACTGTTTTCTTCCAGTGAGAGAGCAGAGATTCGGCAGTTATTTTGCTGTAAAACCTGAAAAGAACCTTCATGCAGTCTCCATCGTGAGGCTAGATCAGTACTTCTCTTTGTTAGGCCACTCTTTATTTAGGTTTCAGTGAGACAGCAACAGTTTGTCTCTATTTGTTGGCACAATAGGAGAGCTACCTTATGCCAAGAATGGTCAGACACATCTAATTTAAAATAAATTGTGTCATCTGCTAACATGACCTCACATAACCAAGGAAAACTCATTACCTCTGTCTGTGCCGGAAAACATCATGGCCGGATTGCGAGACATCTTGACGAACATCTGCCAGAGCAGCCACTGCTCCCTGGGCCACTGCAGCAGCTGAGCAAGGCCTGTGATTGCCAGGCGATGCCAGCGAGCTCTTCCCCACCATGCCAGCAGGGCTATGATTCATTGCTCTCCCAGAGCCTGGTTTGAAATGAGCAGCTAAGGCCAGGATCAACCTCATGATAGATTTCAAGTTCCCATCAACAATATCTGCAAAATGCAAATAAAGCCAAGGACAATGCCATTAACATGAAGTCCCACCAGAGCTATATCTGACCAACAAGTATGAATATAATTAAACCAAACGGGACCATGCCAGTAAGAGACGACTACGCAAAAAGGACTGCATTACAGCACTGATGCTTAGCTCTGCTTGTTTTGTACAGAGCAGCAAACTGACTGCCACCTACAGACCACAAATTTAAATGCTTTGAACAGGCCTGAGCCTTCTCTCCAGGGCCATTTCCAGCTAACAATCAGTAGGTTATGTGACAGCACGTGATAATTACTGAATGCTCACTG